CTGTTATGGCCTTTCCGGTTACGGAAGGACACTCTGGACTCTTACCCGTTGGCCCCGGTACCACTCCGATCGCTGTCTTCGCCATGTCTTGCAACAACCACCAGTCCCCGATCCTTCTATGGATATCTTGTGGCTTTGATGCCAGCGCCCAAATCCCGGACTTTGTCCTCGGGCGTTCTTTCCGGTTCTAGGGCTTGTCAGGCCTTGTCCTCGCTCCGGACGACACTCTGGTTGCCACAGCGCTTGACCTGAACAGATAAGAGCACACCGGAAGCATCTTCATCGATAGCTTTCCACCGCGCCTCTGTTCCGGACTTTCGCAATTCTTCCGGTCGTCACTCCGCTCGTTTCCGGAATCTCGGCTACATGCCTTGTTCCTCTCGAGCACCACTCCGGTTTGGCTAATACCTCCGGATATAAAAGCACTGGGGCGACTGGCTGGCTGACTTTTTCACAGAAAGTAGGATATTGGTTTCGCGCGCAGTACGGAGGAACGTTGACACTGGCCGCAAAAAAAAACGAAAGCCAGTAACTTCAAGACGGTTTTCAATCAGGAGTCGCTGGACCCCCTGGCGCCGGTGCGCGCTCGTATCACCGACTTCTACTCTCGCCGCTGTTACAACGAGCGCATTAAGCCACGTTTTGAAGCGAGATGGGCTCTGGTATCTAAAAATGTCCCTCAACCTGCAGCAGTCACGGTGCGCAATGTGGTGACGAAGGAGGCATGGGAGGCGGAGTCGGTCCCGTTCCAGAACGAGATGAAAGCCGCGCTGGAGGCGGAACACGCGGCGGCGTTGACGGCGTATGAGACGATTGTCGGAGGGGCAGCTCCGACTACGCCCGAGGAATACCAGCTGTAAGTCGCAGAGCGAATTAACGCCGACGATAGGGCCCTAAACAATGCTGGATTTTACCTTCAGCCGTTCGTCGACGCGGCAGCAGAGCACTTCGGGATGAATGTGACCCTGCTCATGTGCGGCCCAACCCCTGACCGCGGAGGAGCCATTGAGATGCACAGTGTGCACGCGGGGCTGTCAAACGGGCTGGTACCGCGGATCTGGCCTGACTTCGACCGTGCAGGCTTTGAAGCGACGCGTCAGAGTTATCGCACGTTCTCAGACCACTGTTTCTGTAAGCTGAATGTAATTTGGCAGGGTTTTACAGCTGATGACAATGTGTAGCTAGCGAGGATAAACAGGCAAGGAGCCTGGGCGGCATCTCGGAGTTATGGCACGACGACTACGTGGCGGGTGCGTCGGGTGGCGCGAACGACATGGACATTGAGCCGCCCGCGTGCGAGGAAGATGACGGGGATGGCGGTAATGGTGATCACGACGAGGAGGACGAGGAAGATGGGGAAGATGAGGAGGAAGACGAGCCGCGGGACCTTGCGGTGGCGATGTCGCCGGAGTTGGCAGCGGAAGTGGAGCGCATGGAGCAGGGGGCACGCGAGAGCTTCAAACGTCGTGTCAAGTGGAGCATGCCGGACTACGAGCTCCTGCGCGAGAACAACATGGCGATAAACCGCAAGTTGTTCCGCAATGCAGGTCTCATGGGTGCCACGCAGTCGGACACAAGCAGGGCGGCGGCGGCGAGCGATGGGCAGGCGCAGGCGTCGAGAAGAAGAAGAGAGGGCAAAAGCCCAAGAAAAGTAAAGAGCCTGAAGGGCCGCCACGGAGGAGTGCGCGTGGACTAGCTGCGGAGATTGACCAAGGGGATGACGAGGGGGAGGATGAGGACGTACTGGATAAGGAGGCAGGGAGAGAAGGGGAGGAGAGCACGGGTGGGACACAACCGCGTCCAACAGCGGCGTACAAGGGAGCAGGGGAGAAGGTGCCGCTGATACGCCCCGAGGATAACAGCGCCTCGTTTGGACCGCTCCTGCCGATGGGCGTCGAGGGGACGTGCCTGCTGCGTCCCGAAGAGGATCCTACGTCGTTTGGACCTCTCCTGCCCGTCGACACGCAATTGGTGCGCCCCGAGGAGGACGCCACGTCGTTTGGGCCGTTTCTCGAAATGGATGCGGTGCAGCGCAAAGGGAGCGCGACGGCGTTGGTACGCCCCGAGCATGACACGACGGCCGCCACAGGAGACCAGAGCAGAGGTGGAGACGAGAGAGCCGGAGACGGAGAGTTATTGTGGGGAGGACAGGACCTGGAGCAGTGGACGCCGGAGCTGCGCAATGCGGTGAAGGGTTTGGTACGCCTGGAAGTGTGGGGCAGGGTGGATTGGGTGGAATGCGTGGGGAAACTGCTTGAGCTGGAGCGGGCGTGGGGATTCAAGGATAAAGGGTTGCTCTCTGCACGTTGCTCTCTGCACCGACGGAGGGCAAGGGGGGACGGCCAAGGTGCGTGGCGCAGTGGATGCGGTACACGAGAAAGTGGGAGGGAAAGGTGGAGTTGTCGACGCGAGAGGTGGGACCAAGAGAGGTGACGGGCTCCTTCGCGGCGCAGTGGTGGGCGTTGTGGGGCGTTGTGCAGCCAGCTGGCAGAACGGCATTGCCGGGTGGTGCTCTGACGCGTCCGAATCTGGCGGGGAGCGAGTGGGATGGTGTGGGGAAAATGAGTGGGAGAAACGGGATGTTGCTGTTTGTGGGTTGCTTGCTTTGGTGGGGAGAGGCTGTAGCAGAGGCAGACAATGTGTCACTCACCGCGGATTGGAGAGACGCGGTGAGCGACGTGCGTTGGGTCTTGTCAGAGGTGGGAAATTCTGTGAGCGCGCTGTACGTATATTGACTTCTCCCGGTGGACTTTGAGCGGAGTATTAATATCGTTTGACAGGGTCAAGGCGGTGGAGAAAGGGGAGAAAGAGGCGGCGAAGGCGAAGAAGGCGAAGGCTGGGGAAGACAATGGGGGTAAGAGGAAGGCAGCGGACAAAGAGAACGAGGTCGAGGAGCCGCCGAAGTAAGTGTCTAAATTGGGTTCGCGTTACGTGCCTATTGATCGGTGTTTAGGAAACACCCTCGAAGGTCGGCTGCGGTGTAGGGATGAATGTTGTGAGGCTTTCTGGTGTTGGCGAAGGGTTTGACTGGATTGGCTGCCAGGGTGTTCAACCACAGGGGGCTCAAAGATAAAAATTGAATATATATATATATATTTACACGCAGATGGACTGGTACGGTACATTTCAGTACGGGTAAGTGTAGGAAAGTCGGAGAGTGTCAAGGAGAGGAGGTTTTGACAGAGTGAATCTAAGAAAATAACGGAGGAACTTAGGTAAAGGCGGCAAGTTGAAGAAGAGGAGATACGTACCTTTGGATTTGCTGTGAGTCGGCGTGATTCGTTCGCTGGGAGTACAGGTGCGTCGGGCCGCACGCAGATTAGGCGCGCGGGGCGGTCATTGGGGCGTGATTCGTTTGCTGGGAGTACAGGTGTGTCGGGACGCCTCGTCGCACGCAGATTAGGTGCGCGAGGCGGTCATCGGGGCGGGCTCGGCGAGGCGGGAACGGAAGCAGTGGCGGTCTTCAAGGTGGTCTTGGCGACCACCGGCCGTGGACATCGACGGGTGGTCCTCTGCCAGTGAGGAGCGGAGAGCGCGGAGGCCCAACACATATCCTGTAAGTCTGGCGGGGCCGAGGACGGCGGGGGCTACGAGGGTGGGCGTTGATAAACAAACAGCAATAAGTGGGCGGTGGTAAACAAGCAGCAACAGCTGCGGCACAACGGCACGAAACAGATTTGATGCGAAATGATGGCCAGCGTTTTTATTATTATTGCCAGATGATGGCCAGCCATTTACAACCGGCTAGGGCTGGGGAGGGCCCATTTCTATTACTATTAGGGTGTATTTCCCAATGTAGTAATATGTAGTGTATATATATATATAGGCGGTAGTTGGCAGGCCAGCCACGAGGTGCTTGTATATATATATGCCCTGTGGCCACAGCTGCTTGTGTATATATAAAGGTACAGATACTCCTCGGGTTCCGAGGGCAACCACGGAACGCCTTCCGGAAACGATCTTCTCGATCGTGGTGGCTCCGGTCCTCGCGAAGCATCTCCTGCTCTCTCGGACATCTCTCCGGGTATGCCTTCCCTAACCTCCATCCCTGTTTACAACATTTCCTCGCACTCCAGAACACCTGTTCGTCCTACGACGGGTGCATCGGGTCTGGAGATGCCGGACCTTCCTCTGGCTATGCCAGGAAGGCGGTCGATCCCTCGCGCAAGCGCTCTGGCGAGGCAGCCGGTTTGCTGAACAACAAAGACAAACTCCGGAAGGAGGAAGCGGAACGCCGGAGACGTCTAGGATTGTGCATGTATTGCAGTAGTGGTGGACATCACATTACGCGCGTTGTTCATGACAAGCACCAGCGCACCGGAGAATCACGCTCCACGGGTAATGATAGTTAAAAAACCATGCAGAGCTCGAAAACTCTACCCGGAACGTCTGCGTCGTTCCCTGAGAGTTATACCACAATCCATCACGTGTACATTCGCTCAAAATTCACGACCGCTCGCTCTCTGGAGTCGAGTTTTTACAATTTCAATAATCATATCTCTCGAGATTGCCTCGGGATTCAACTCCCACATACGAACATTTCCTCGACATCCTATATCGCTGTAACTATATAAATATTAGAATTCACTCGGTTTTGGCTTCGCATGCGAGATATCCGGCAAAATCCCACCGGACAACTTTCCCTTGGCAACTCTCTCCATTAATCGACAGTCCATCTGTCTCCGTCTTTGGTACTGTTCGTACTCCGAAATCGCGTCAACGTTCTTGATTTCCTTCTTTGTTCTGGATAACGGAACCGGTGTGAGCTGTCACTTTATGATACGCTCAAGCGCGGCGGAAATCAGTAACAAAACGACTCACGGAGGAAATCACGATAAGCCTCAGAGACTACACGGCATGCTACGGCTGTCACGGAGGTTTTTCCCACGGTTGAAAACTGACCTGGCGGACGCTCTCTGCGCGGACGGAAAGGTAACACACGCACTACGGAACACGACTACGGAACGCTCGCGGAAAAAGGGTAGCAAAATTGCGAATAAAGGCCCGACCTCGAATCGAACGAGGGACTCGTAATTACGCAATATTGTGAGGAGAAACCGACAATGCGCGCGTTACCAGTTACGCCACCGGGCCTATACTGCAAATAGTCATGAAACAACAATCGACACCCACGGAATCACTCACGGTCGAATACTTGCGCACGCTCTCTCCGTGACGGAAAAATACACCTACGGAGCGTGGGAAAAAGCGAACACGGCCTGACCTCGAATTGAACGAGGGACTCGCAATTGTAATATCGCGGAGAGGTTGACTGCAAATGTGCGCGTTACCGTTACGCCACCAGGCCTATACCTCGAACAACCAGCAAATATCAAGGAGTGCCACACGGACATATTCACGGACGACTTACAGATCGCTACGGGACATGCGAAGCGACGGGATCGGGCAAATGTAAAGGTTGTGGGGGCAGGTTTCCGTCGAGCCTAACGGAAGGCGTGTGTGTCAACTTAACGGAGAACATGGGAGTCGAACTTCGCGGAGGGCATGTGAGGATCCACAGGAAGGACAATACAACAGAGGCTTCACGGAGAAGTTCACGCGCGGTAATCGGGCGGGAATACGTATAACAGCCAGATGTATTTACCAAGGAATCATCTTGTTATCCCCCACTGCTCACACCTAAGCTACCCTCCCCCCAGCCTTACGGGGCGGAGTTGTCTCTCTCATATAGACATATTAGCTCAGGCTACGCCGTCCTCCGTGGGGCTAGCTAAATAGGTCACTTGGATTGAAGGTTCACCAAGGAACCCTTTCTAAAGGTCCCTTCGACTCCGTAAAAACGGGTCAGGAGGAAATTGTTGAATACAAAGGTGTTGGTCACGGCGCAGTCGATGAAAAGCGCGTACTTCTAAACAGCCAGCAGCCCCTACTTAGCTGCGTGCAACTGTTGTATTGGAGGCTCAAACGCAGATCCGTGCGCAGGGCACCACTCCCCATCTTCACGGAAGGCTCATCCGTGAAGATTATTACCACTCCACCATTTCATTCGAAATACAACTTCGCCACGCTCGTCACGGAACCTCATCCGTTGCGCGTTCACACAAGCACAGAAAGAAACGGGCTACAGAGGAAAAGAGCTATAGCCCGCTCGCGCTGTGTTAAAACCCACGTTTTGAAGACACTGCTTGCCCGAGTAATACGAGGCAGGGAGAAAAGAGAAACCCCCACATCACCCAGGTCTCCCAGCTCGGATCGATGCTCGCATTGCGAAGCTCTATTCCTTCGCGCAAGTGTAGAGCGACCTCCAACCGCGGCTTTCCTGGAAGGCTAGCCCCCAACGAGGAACTAAAAACCTCGAGGAACCTAGCGCTCACATCCTAAATCCTCACGGAAACGGATTGTACCATCTCACCAGCACCACAATTATATAAACCTTCCGTAGCGTACGAGTAGCTACGTTTCTCCGCGAGAGTGATTTCCCTCTAGAGGACAAATCACCTTCGTGTACTTGCCTGAAACCAATTCACTGGTCAGACATCTTACGGAACCGCAGTCCGCATCACACCGGAAAACCTCTCAACCACATTCCGTTGAATGCAGGATGATGGTTTCCACCAATCCGAATCCTTAATCCTTGGGGTTATTAGTGTGCACACGACCGGCAATTATGCCGGATATTGTTTTGGTTGTTCCCATGAGGGACCGGTGTTTATCGCCGACACCGACAGTTCTGACGCCTTCACCATATTTGAAACCTCCGGACTCCGCTCCTACGTTTCATTGGCTACTCACCATTCCCGTTCTTCCGAACATTTCTGGATCGGGACTCGACCCTCCGGAAGATTCCGGAGCCTCGACGTCTGGTCAGGTGTCCAGATGGCCACCAATGGTTTTTGTAAATGGGTCATGGCTTCATGCCTTTCCCTTCGATCACCTCTCCGGTATAGCTACGTGCACGCAAAATGCTCCGCTCCGCTACCGGAATCCTTTCTGAAGCTTGTATGCCTCTGATCTCTTGGCAAATTCAACACCTTGTTCCTATACGCCATGAATCGTTTCTTAGAGATGCTTGACTCGGTTCATGCATACTCACTCCTTTTATCCTTTTCTTCCTTCGTTCATTCAGCCTTGGTATTTTGGGGCTGAGACAATAGTTAGGTTTCACACCTTGAACAAATGCGGAAAATGCTCATCTGGGACGTCTAATAAACGTACTCAACCGAGCCCGCTTAGTTCCTGGCATGGAACTCTCTTTTTCCACACTCCGGTCAAGACTCGCGTATCCAGAACCTATGCTCCGTCGAGATATCGGGTAAGAGCTCACCGGAGGACACTTTGCAGTGTTTCCTCCAACGCGCCTCCGATCTCGACTTACGCCTACACCTCCGGAATCACGTCTCGTCTTGTCCGATCGCTGGAAAACGCCTCAAAATCAATACCGCGGCTTTCTCCCGAGGAAACCTCTGTCTACGCTTGCAGCATCCTCTTGCAGCTACGTCGGAGACCTCATCACTCCTTCTCCGGTAAAACGGGGCTGGATTCTGTGGTCGTGTTCCGTTCTCCGGTCGCTCGGACCTCCGGAACTCCACTACTGCGGTTGTTTCAATATCGAGAAAAGCCGGCCGAGCGTCACCTGGGTGACCTCGCTCGTCAGCTTGGTAATCTCGCAAGTCGCAGTACGACCACTAGACTTGGGAAAAATCTGGAAGAAGCGCTCTTCGACCGGAATAAATCCTTCGTCTCCGAGCATTTCCCTGCCTTCAAGGCAAAATTCCTGGCTTCATGCCAAAATTCGACTCTATCCCAAACGATTCGCAGTAGCCTGTGGGAAGTCTACCCTAAGAGGGGGATACGCCCATGCAACTCCGCATATGAATCAAAATTTCTCGCACAATTTGGTCGCTGTCTGGAAATATTCAGCATCGAAACAGGAATTACTGGAGTCGTTCCCATCTTTCCGGAACTTGCTGTCTTCACGTTCATGACAAGCAGGCTTCGTACTGACACCCGCATATCGATCGATCATCGAAACTCAAGATTACTGTTGACTGATTATAGGATTCACTCAAGTATAACTCAGGAGGATCATAATCCTGATTCCGAATGCCAGAATGTGTTAAGTCCACCCACCGTTCTACTCCAGCAACCTCCGGTCGTACTCCGGAATATCGGAGACCTCTCGTCGAGGCCAGCGAGTAGCCGGAGTTGGCGCATTCAACATTCGGAGAATCCTTGGTATCATCAGCACATCGGTGTTCAAGTTCCTAATGCAGTTCCCACAAGGTCCTGGCAGATTTCCCTCCATGGATCGTCAATCGACCTAATCCACATGCCACGCTGAAACGGGCAAGATGCGCTAACAGTGAAAATGGGCTAACTAAGCTCTGAATGCGGGCTAGCTGAACACTAACACACCACACACAAAACCTAACACAACACCAAATCCCCTACTTATACTTCACTAAGACTAAGCGCGTCTTCCTCAGTGAGTTCGGGTCCGAGCCGTAGTATGTGACTACTGGTTTGGATTCCTAGCACAACGAGAATTGAATTATGGCCTCAACTATCCCAACTAAACAAACACCGCACTCTCGGCTAGCTACCCTTGACGTTCCGAAACAAGACTTCCCAAGGTTGGGATGTACAGGTTTGGGGGTGATAAGGATGTTTACTAGGCGGACGTACAAAAGTACAGTCGTCCTAGGCGAGGTAAATGAAGTGTCTATCTGAAAACTCCCACTAATGGGCTATGCTGCTTCTCCTGCACTTCCTCTATGGCTTGGCTAGCTGAATACTGCTAACGGCCGACTTAGACTCCTCTGAATCCAAGCTCTTTTCTGTTACACTTGGGCTTATTAAGGACCCGGAGTGTTCTCTTAGCTCAACTAATCGGTCAATGAATCGACTGGCAGTTCTACCAAAGTGCTGTGCCGGGCGTGGTCCGTTTTACGGGAGGCGTTTCCTGGTCACCCAATGCGTAGCTACCACTGAAGTCCACCACAAAGCTAGCCGCAACTCTCAAACTTAAACTCTCGTGCTCTCGGTCCTGATTTATACGTGGAGAGTGGCGCCGCTCACAACCTCCCAACGCGAAGCTTCGACTTATTGGTTCACACAGTTACTTCTGGATCCAACAAACAACGCTGCGATTTCTATAGACTGGTTTACAACAGAGAAGGTACTTTATCTCCGCTTCGACTGGCCTGAGCACACCCTTATCGACAGTGCGATGAGCGGGGCATGAACTGGCTTTTAGCGGTGTTTTCTGGGTTTTCTGGGTCCTTATATACTACTCAGAAGTCCATGACATAAACTCTATCTACTAATCATGCCGGGGTGATTCCTCATCCACCTGTCAACTGCCATGACGATCTTGGCCATTTATCCGAAGTCCGGGTCCAATTCCGGGTCCAATATGACCCTAGAACGGTCCAGAACGATGCTAGGCCCTCGCTAGGCCTTGGCTAGGCTAGGCCCATGACATCAGACTCTGAAATGACTCCACCCCGGAGCCTAGAGTGCATAACTCCGAAAATACTCGGAGCCTTAGCCCTTAGCTCCGAAATGACTCCACCTGCTCATATGTTGGATTGTCCACTTCGACTTCCTCAACATCCTATCATTGCCATCCCAGGAACTGATCAGAGTTGAGCTAGCTCGCATTTATGGTACGCTAGCCACGCTAGCCTCGTAAACCAAGCATGCTAGTACAGCTAGTCGACTTCAATGATCATTCTCTACGCCTCGTATCGCTCTGTGACCTTGCTAGTGCAATTGCTAAAGCACTAGCACCATCCAACACATCTCTACTTCGAATCCAAGTGCTAGGACTCGCTCTGAATAATACCTGAGGCTCAAGGCACTCAAAGGAATAGCTCTACTGTCAATTGTGATAGCTAGCTCGATAAACGAGGTGCTAGTACGCATGATCCTGTCTCTTGGCTTGCTAGCCCACTTGTTAAGTCCCTTCGGACTTATTCTGTGCAGTCATTGGTTCTCCTAGTCGGATTACAATCCCTGTTGAATGCCTAGGCCTTTGGTACATCTCCTTGATAGTGTACCTGTCCAGTGTAACGCTTGTAACCGCGCCTAGCACTGTGCAGAATACTACAGCCAGCAGTCGGAGCTCACTCTGACTCTCCTTTATATCACCAAACAGAGGTCTGGTGCACTAGTCAATAATGCAGCCAGAAGCTAGTTTATAGCCTGAGTCCCCTAGCACCAACTAGTGCTCATAAAGCTTAAAATAGCCCGATTGCGACACAATTGGTGTTGCGCCGTCTCAACGCACTCCCTACTTCTATTCTTGGAATAATTCCCTCTACTTAATCAACATTGGGATTGTAA